TGCACTTTTTTTATACCTAAGTTTACAAAAATGCTCTTCCCTCGTTTCTTTGATATATTTGTTGTTGGTCTTCCTTTCCCCTAACATTTCAACCTTTTGACACTAGATGGCGCTACACCCCTATTATTAAAACTACTTTATTTCATAGGGAAGCTCACCTCCAGCAGTGAAGAAGTTCATTCACTGAGTAGGGGAACATAATATGGTTTTGACTTACACATCAAATCTATGTTTCATATCGAATGACTAAACACCTTCAAATATAAAAGACACCATAGGCGAACATGCAATGAAAATGTGCCAACTTTGAACATTTCATTAATAAATCTGTGGGCTATCTGCTTTGACATCTTGTCATTAAAGTGCAACTACTTATAAGGATTTGAGCGAAAATATCGGTTTATTCATTTTCACACTCGACAGCCTACATAATGGAAAATGGTACAATAACATTGAAATGACTACTCATTAGCATGCTTTTCACCTATTTACTGCAGTTTGCATTATCAAAGTTCTATGGTTTAGATATGTATACTCGTTATGTCGACAATGCATGTACTGTCTTGTAATTAAAGCTTATATTGAGCAGTTTAGTTCACTACACCTTTACCATCAGTATTTTTTTTTTATGTCTCCACTTTCCCACTCTGTACCAGAGCCCATTTCTACCTCCCTTATTATTTAAATGTGGAACAGGATGCTCCAGACTTCTGTACTGATCTGAATAGGGACATTTGCAAAATGAAGGAACAAAACCAGGAAATAAAGTTTAAGCATTTATTAAGTGATGTACATTAAACTTTTGGTCATGTAACTCTTAACACCTTCTTCATGTGTAACAACTTTATAATACGGTGTGTATAACATGTCATACGTAGCACGTTAACGTGAGGGAAATAAGGTTAAGAACATGGAATCATTAATCACTTTACTGCCCGCCCCTCAGACGCAGCACAAGGTGGAGGGTCGACTCCTTCTGGATGTTGTAGTCGGAGAGTGTGCGGCCATCCTCAAGCTGCTTGCCGGCAAAGATCAGCCTCTGCTGGTCGGGGGGAATACCTTCCTTATCCTGGATCTTGGCCTTCACGTTCTCAATGGTGTCACTTGCCTCAACCTCCAGGGTGATGGTCTTGCCGGTGAGGGTCTTCACAAAGATCTGCATGCCTCCCCTGAGACGCAGGACAAGGTGGAGGGTCGACTCCTTCTGGATGTTGTAGTCGGAGAGTGTGCGGCCATCCTCAAGCTGCTTGCCGGCAAAGATCAGCCTCTGCTGGTCGGGGGGAATGCCTTCCTTGTCCTGGATCTTAGCCTTCACGTTCTCAATGGAGTCACTTGCCTCAACCTCCAGGGTGATGGTCTTGCCAGTGAGGGTCTTAACGAAGATCTGCATACCTCCCCTGAGACGCAGGACAAGGTGGAGGGTCGACTCCTTCTGGATGTTGTAGTCGGAGAGTGTGCGGCCATCCTCAAGCTGCTTACCAGCAAAGATCAGCCTCTGCTGGTCGGGGGGAATACCTTCCTTATCCTGGATCTTGGCCTTCACGTTCTCAATGGTGTCACTTGCCTCAACCTCCAGGGTGATGGTCTTGCCGGTGAGGGTCTTCACAAAGATCTGCATGCCTCCCCTGAGACGCAGGACAAGGTGGAGGGTCGACTCCTTCTGGATGTTGTAGTCGGAGAGTGTGCGGCCATCCTCAAGCTGCTTGCCGGCAAAGATCAACCTCTGCTGGTCGGGGGGAATGCCTTCCTTGTCCTGGATCTTAGCCTTCACGTTTTCAATGGAGTCACTTGCCTCAACCTCCAGGGTGATGGTCTTGCCGGTGAGGGTCTTCACAAAGATCTGCATGCCTCCCCTGAGACGCAGGACAAGGTGGAGGGTCGACTCCTTCTGGATGTTGTAGTCGGAGAGTGTGCGGCCATCCTCAAGCTGCTTGCCGGCAAAGATCAACCTCTGCTGGTCGGGGGGAATGCCTTCCTTGTCCTGGATCTTAGCCTTCACGTTTTCAATGGAGTCACTTGCCTCAACCTCCAGGGTGATGGTCTTGCCGGTGAGGGTCTTCACAAAGATCTGCATGCCTCCCCTGAGACGCAGGACAAGGTGGAGGGTCGACTCCTTCTGGATGTTGTAGTCGGAGAGTGTGCGGCCATCCTCAAGCTGCTTGCCGGCAAAGATCAACCTCTGCTGGTCGGGGGGAATGCCTTCCTTATCCTGGATCTTAGCCTTCACGTTCTCAATGGAGTCACTTGCCTCAACCTCCAGGGTGATGGTCTTGCCAGTGAGGGTCTTAACGAAGATCTGCATACCTCCCCTGAGACGCAGGACAAGGTGGAGGGTCGACTCCTTCTGGATGTTGTAGTCGGAGAGTGTGCGGCCATCCTCAAGCTGCTTACCAGCAAAGATCAGCCTCTGCTGGTCGGGGGGAATACCTTCCTTATCCTGGATCTTGGCCTTCACGTTCTCAATGGTGTCACTTGCCTCAACCTCCAGGGTGATGGTCTTGCCGGTGAGGGTCTTCACAAAGATCTGCATGCCTCCCCTGAGACGCAGGACAAGGTGGAGGGTCGACTCCTTCTGGATGTTGTAGTCGGAGAGTGTGCGGGCCATCCTCAAGCTGCTTGCCGGCAAAGATCAACCTCTGCTGGTCGGGGGGAATGCCTTCCTTATCCTGGATCTTAGCCTTCACGTTCTCAATGGAGTCACTTGCCTCAACCTCCAGGGTGATGGTCTTGCCAGTGAGGGTCTTAACGAAGATCTGCATACCTCCCCTCAGACGAAGGACAAGGTGGAGGGTGGACTCCTTCTGGATGTTGTAGTCGGAGAGAGTGCGGCCATCCTCAAGCTGCTTACCAGCAAAGATCAGCCTCTGCTGGTCGGGGGGAATTCCTTCCTTGTCCTGGATCTTAGCCTTCACATTCTCAATACTGTCGCTGGGCTCAACCTCCAAGGTGATAGTCTTGCCAGTGAGGGTCTTCACAAATATCTGCATGCCTCCCCTCAGACGGAGGACAAGGTGGAGGGTGGACTCCTTCTGGATGTTGTAGTCGGAGAGAGTGCGGCCATCCTCCAGCTGCTTGCCAGCAAAGATCAGCCTTTGCTGGTCGGGGGGAATGCCTTCCTTATCCTGGATCTTAGCTTTGACATTCTCAATTGTGTCACTAGGCTCAACCTCTAGGGTGATTGTTTTGCCAGTGAGGGTCTTCACAAAGATCTGCATGTCTGTACCTATGTCAAATTGAGAAAGATACAATTAGGGTTAAACAAAATCTGAATTAGTAAAACAGGTTTAATTGATGGGCTCTCACGTATGATAGATGTTAAGAGTACATTTGTCTTTTTATATTATCCTTATTATTTATATAAAAGATGTAGTGCAAGTCTAACTTGTAAAATGGCTTCCATTAACAACATATCAAAAGTCGAAAATACGTTTAGACAACTGCAAACAGAATTTTAATTAACAGCAGCTATTACATCCACGCCACGCGCCATTTTGAAATCATATTGACCTTACTTTTGTTCAGCTAACGTTACTCGATAATGGACTATACTGGAAATGTTGAGTCATTGCTAATGCTTACATAAGACAGCCACTAATTCGACGACGATAAATGTCGTTAGTGACACGTATACCGTTTTAAAATAAAGTCTACAACCTGTCGTGTTAATGTAAATTTGAGACAACGTCTGACAATCTTCTAAACAAGCGAAGCTGTACTGCAGTGGCACGAAACAAGCTACTAAAACATCCACTCATCAATAGTTGAAGAACTAACAACAATACAGCTTGAAAACAGAAGAAAATATATACTTACGATCAAGAGACGCAGTTAATATGTTTGGATCCTTCTTGCGTAGTGTTACTCTCTTTCAGCTTCCGCTGTAGAACTAACTGCTGGTCAGACAAATACTGTATTATATACCAATGACTACATACGTCATCTGTGAGTATCCTTCCGCATGTGAAAGTAGTCACCACTTCTCGGCAGACCACTATTTCAATTCAAAAATATTAATAGCACAATATTGTTTTATCGAATCATCACATGTTTACTCATAAAGATGATTTTATTCAAAAACAATTGTATGGATGTAAACGTTATTTTATGCGGCGGAATAATATCTCTCTCTACACTACGGTTCTGGAATTTTCTCGAACTGCTGTAGCAACAGAAACCGTCCTTGAGCTTCTGATTGGACTGCACGATTGTTTGTTTTGCCAGCGATTGGTTGCTGTGTTACAGTAAGTATTGTTTGTTGACCGACTTGTATTTTTGACTGAGATTTTAACATATATTTATGAATTAATGTCAAGACCTAAATAGACAATGGTTCGTGTCATTCTGTGCCATTATAGTGTAACCATATACATGGACTTTTCTAAAACGTAACTCTTTCCATAATACAGAATTTCATACAAGTTATGTCATTAGGAACTCATCAGGTCTATACATTAATATGCATTTAATGTGACACGACAGAGGGGCATGTGCAAACAGGAATTTGAGTTAATCTCCATCATTCGTCGCTGTTAACAGATGGACATTTGCTTGGTAAACATCTGATACCAGCTGCTGTGGCAGCAGGGTTAGGTCTTGGAGGCAAAATGGAAGCGTACACACTGTTAACTGACCACCTTTACCCACCTTGTATTCATTAGCAACCCATATCCAGCATGTTTCCTACAACACCACCATTTAAATAAATAATACATTCCTGATTTAAAGCCAACCTGAACACCTCTGCAAAGATGTAATTTGATCAGCAGAAATAGGCGATACCAGTTATCTGGCATGCACAATAAAAAAATGACCTAAATACTGAAACGTGATGTTTGAGAACCAGAATGACCATATGTGGTGTGTCTAAAGATACACTGTTGTGTTCTGCCAGAGTGTAAGTTGACTAAATAGATTTCAATTCCCTTTTGGTTTTGTTTTAGATCTATCTGATGTTTCATGAAAGCAGTGGTATGGCAATGTTCAGCTTATAAGGATGTACACACTGTACAGAAAGTACTTTGTCAAGTCACCATTTTCTATGAGAAAATGGTCATGGCAGGAGAAAAAAACACACTCACAAACAGATAATGTAACAGCTGTTCATAATTCTAACACACTGCCAGGGCCACTCAACATGATCCTTCTGACAGAACACAATATAATTGTTCTCCTCTTCCTTGTTCATTTGTTGAGTAATTATAAGATTCTAAGGAAAAGGCTGTAGGTATGCATGACTAACTGCCTGCATGATGACAATGCTCATGTGATACGGAAAAACAGTGATACATAACATTTTGGTGATGTGTACCTGGAGTAAAGGGACTTTGGCAAGATATTTAGAATGAAACCAGTGATTTGCCTTCCCATTTTCTAGCTTCAGCCATTATTTCAGACAACAGTGGCACTGTGACCTAAATTCAATTAAAGCTCAGATGGGGTCTGTAGCCTTCTGGGGTTCTATAATGGGGTCATAGATATGATACAACAGGGAGGGTCATAATTTATGTATTTGGGTCACAGCTTTCCCTTAACACCACCCCTCCAGCTGCACCCTGTCATATGACACCCAACCTGTGATGCATTACACCAGCCAGTGCTTTCCAACAGAGTTCAGAGGAATGTGTTTGTGCATGTCTGTTGTACTTTGCCCTGCCTCTTGCTTGGAATAATGATGCACTGCCTCAAAGTGTTCCAGGAAGAAACGATCTTTCAAGCAAGCTATGGCCTATATTTGAGTGTTGTCTGTGGTTTGTTGCAACAAACTTGACTTATTTTTGGGAATTTCAATGACCCAACAATAGCTGTGAATGGATCAAAAGTAGAGAGGCTTATAATGTTAATTTAACTCTTATCAGTTAATGGACTTTGATTAGTTTAATGTGCCATTTTGGGTGGGACGTTCAGTTCCACGTCGAAACGTATCATAACAAACTAGCACACAAGTTTCATCAGAGCTTCAGTGACTAGTTTGGTAAACACATTCTTTCTCTTGTTGACATCAAAGTGACTGAAATATCATCCTACCTAAATCAGAATAAACGTGTTTCTCATGATAATTTGTTATTTCCTTTATACCTACAGAATGGATCTGGTGAAACACACCGGCGGTTGCCACTGTGGGGCTGTAAGATTTGAAGTCCTAAGTTCCCCAGACCTCCATGTTTTCCAATGCAAGTAAGGAAAATAAATCTTATATTGTCTTGTAATTTAAAAATAAACACTGTGTATTGGACAAAAACTAGATTGTCCAAGACATTTATTATTTTAAAATGAATGGGTAAAACACATTTGTTTTGCTAAATAAAAACAAATGAATCCCATAACTGTCATGTTAAAGAGATTTCAAACAACATGTGTCGCTTGTACACTTTATAGCAAGTTAATACATACTGAATTATGTCTGTTTTTCTTCAGCTGTAGCATTTGCACAAAGAAACAAAACCATCATTTCATTGTTCCAAAGAATCACTTCACACTCTTACAGGTAACTCAAGCTAAATATTTGATTATGTTTGAAATCAGAAGAGCATTTTAAAGTAAATTAATTTGGTTTTCCTTGACAGGGGTCAGATTATCTGATCACATATACGTTTAACACTCACATTGCTAAACACACCTTCTGTAAGACTTGTGGAGTTCAAAGTTTCTACACTCCACGCTCCAACCCTGACGGCTACGGTATGATCGCTAACAGTTTACACAAGACAGTCACACCACGCTCATATGTTGTTACCTAACATCCTGCTGTGTTTACTCCAGTCTACTCTGCCCAAAACAAAGCCCTTTATTTCGGATATTTGTAAAAAACAGAACCTTTATGTTCCCAATAAGAGATAAATGTTCCATACCAAGTTTCCAGATTATATAAGAAAACTTCTCCTAAAATCTATACAGCAGATTCAATATATCTTTGTTAAAAAACAATTACATAATACAGAGACACACAAAACTAATTTAGGTGACATGGGGAAGATTACAAAAAAAGTTTGATTAGATGATATACAAAATTTGAGCTCAATATGGCAAAAATAACACAAGGATGCAAAAACATTTAAAATACTGCCTCACCATTATATTTAACTTGCTATTTTTTTCCTTCTGAGAGCATTATTTCAAAAAAAAATTGTGTTTTTAAAGAATTAAGCCCGAGCATCAGAAAAGATTCCCTTCAATACATTTTTAAATTCTACATCATATATTTCACATAACAGGCCTAGTATTAGATTTGGTTGGTTACCAAGACTATCCTCCACACACTGTAGGTCCAGGCTCCACAGTGACTGTATGACAAAGGGAGCCTTGTGACTCTCTTCACCTCCAGCACACCCTATTCTGACTCAGCCCCATGGTGTTATATAATGGGTGTAGGCTGTTTTTTTCATATGTAAATAACGTTGCTGTTGTTGTTTACTCCCCAGGCGTTGCTCCACACTGTCTGGATCCAGGTACTGTCCGCAGCGTCACAGTGGAGACGTTTTGTGGGGAGAAGTGGGAAGAAAGCATGCAAGCTCACAAGAGCATCAGAGATATGTCTAAACCTGAAGCAGACGCACAGCTGAAAAACACACAATGACAACACTGTGATTTAAGAATCAAGCTTATTTTAATCATCAGTATCAAAAATGTTTTACAGTATTTTTTAATAATCTTTGACATAAGATTACAAAACTGTATCCGTAGTGTTGCTTTCATACAGTGTAATGACAATAAAGATGTTTGAGAAACGAAAAGTCAGCATTATTTATGGAAAGGGCTTACGATAAAACGCTCAATCTTCTTTGAAAAAGTAAAGTACTACTGATAACTCTTTTTTTTACAGTGAGCAAAACAGCTCATCTGATTTGTAAACCCTTATTCACTCTTCACCACAGTTATCTAGTAGATAGGCAGCAGGAAAACAAAGTAACAGTCAGTGCATCAGTTTATCTCATAACTCAATAGATCTTCAGGTTCTTTGGACCTTGTGGGATCATTTGGAACGTGTTGATGAACATGTATCGAGACATGGTGACGTAGAGGTAACGAAACCACAGGAGCTGGGTGCGGTGGCAATACATGGCATCCTGAAAGGAGAAGAGGGTTGAACTTGTTAGTGAGTGCAAAGTAATCCATTACATTTGATATTGGATCACAATTAACACCCAATCGTGGTCCAAATATATCTGCTACTTACTGTACATGTAATTTTTATATACAGAATTAGCTTGATGTTAAGTTGCAAAGAATAATCGATCAAAAGGAAAACAATTTGATGAATTGTTAGTTAATTTCTTATGCAAAAATGTTAGACATGCCGTTATCGGCCTCTCAAATATGAAGAGATAAAAAAGACGTTTAAAGACATCACCTTGGACTTTAAGAAACTATTACTCCTGACATTTTATAGACCAAGAGATCATTAGATGAATCTAGAAAATGAAAATAATCATGCAATTATTTGATGCTCAACCACTTTTTTAAAAACCGTATCTCCACTTTTGCCTATTCAGCTCAGACACCGCATACAGCTTTGTTTAAATGTGCTAAACACATGTGCCCTCTAATAGGAGACAGTGACACGCCTTTCCAGCAAACAGTGCATTGTGAAGCTTACTTTGGCTTGCCTGTAGCCCTGTGAGCCGAGGAAACAGCGCAGGCTGCAGGGCAGCAGCCAGCTGAAGGGAAGCTCCAGGAAAGAAATGTACTTCCTGAAGAGGCCAACGGTCACCAGGGAGAGCAAACAGCAGTCTGGGAGGACATACAGAGACACAGTTAGTTATCAGTATATGTTATTAATTCAGTACAGCAGCAACATGTCAACTAGGACATTCTCTCAGGCTGTTCTGTTTCAGGTCTTCTCTATAGAGAAGCAACCTGATGTTACAACAAACAATTATTCTTTATTACACTCAGGCTGTACTGAAAAAATCTCGGGAAAAATTAGAAAAACTGTCACTGTCAAGTTGCTAAAAAGGATATTATATTACAGAGCACATAGTCAACATGGTGAGTTTTATGTAGGTTTTTGTGCATGAACATTTTCTGCAAAGGCTACATCTTTCTCTCCCACAACTGAAACGCCTCAATTGGACTCCTTTACTTCCGTAACATAATGACAACACTATGTAACACTCACGCTTCTATTGGTTAGATCTCCAAAACATTGTAAGTGATAGGCTAAGGGGCGGGGCATCTCTAAGCAGTGGACCAATCATAACAGAGCTGGCCAGCTAACCAATCTTTTTGAACATTAAAGCATGTAAACATGTCACATTAGAGGCACCAAATATAAATATGAACCTGAAAATAAGCACAATAGGGTCTCTTTAAAGCTGCTGGTGAAGGAGAATTGCTGAACGGCCAGTAAAGAGGCTTTTTGTGAATCAGGCCAGGCCTAATTCACTCCCACAGGCTACAGTATGACCAGTCAAACAGGTGATGTGTGGTATAAATAACCAGCGTGCATGATTAATGACGCTCCTGCTGTTTTTATAAGATAGCTCTCTGCAGGCTTAAAGGGCAAGGCAGACTGAAGATAAAGTGTGTGTTTGCTCTGGCCTCGGGACTGAGTAGATAATGTCCTTCTGCTATTCAACCAGCACAGTGCAACAGTTGAGATTTCATGTATGATTAACTACTCTGGCCCGCTGTGCTGGTGTCTTATCATGCTGTCTGCTCAGACTTTAATGTGAGTGTTCTCTCTGGGCCTTAATGTTTCTCTTGTTAGCAGAGTATTGTCAGTTGAACATGTTGTACCCTCTCAGTCCTGATTATGTTCAAGCGGATAGTCATAATGCCTTTCAAATCACGTCTATTCATTTATTTTGTATTCACTGTTACAAAATGTGTAATATGTAATGTAAAGCGCTTGAGCACTTGAAAAAGCGCTCTAATAAAAAATGTAATGAATTATTATTAATTATTATTTCACAAAATGTTAGAGGTTAATATCATACTTTTTACTCCACTACCTAGACTCATACCGAGTACTATTACTTTTGATTCTTGAAGTACATTTAGCTGATAATACTTCTGTACTTCTACTTCAGTAACATTTTTAATTGAGGACTTAATTTTGTTCTCTTAATACCATTATTATTTATACTTTTACTTAAGTAGGTACTTCTAAGTAATATCTAAGTACTGTTTCCATTTCTGCTGCTTGGGATAACTGTCTGGGCTCACGCTGCCACCAGCAGACCAAACTCTATAGATGGGAAACAAAAGCCATGCAACCCTTTAGAACAGAAGAGGGCGCTGTACAATAACAAACACCCAGCCTGAGCAGTCCACAGCACCTTCTAGCAGACTGGAGAAGCAGCTACTCATGTCAGGCAGTCTGTATCTTTTAATAAAAATGCTACCTGAAGCCTCATAATGAATACAAGGCTTTTGTACTGAATTGTATTGCCTTTTTCATATCCAACAGCGAGAGAAGAAGTGGTTCCTTACTCAAGAATTATTTTCAGTTTAATATGTTATATAACTTATAGCTCCAACACAGCAATGGGTATATGACTGATCCCTCCTAAAACTGTTTCAGATTGAGTTTATCCTGGTAGGGAGTTAGTTTGAGTTTTGAAGGAAAGGATTACCAGGTCAGTTACCATAACAGAAAAAGCTTTCCAAATGAGGATTTAGGAATTAACGCAAGGGAAACCTTACTGGTTTATTTTCTGAAAATTGACTAGTAACTGCAACCAGGTACTTTGGACACACATTTTCAAAAGTTTAAACCCTCTTAAAAGTTGTTTTTGTGTCCCACTTACCATTGGGTACTTGTCCAGTGGAAGCCAGATAGCTGTAAATGGAGGGAAGAGCCGTGTTACAGGTTAAAAATATTGAAGAGGCAAACATTGTTGTCAAAGAGATGATAAGTAAATGGCAATGGTGTGATGTTCCTACCTGCCAATCTATAACCAAGATGAGAGCTTTCTTAACACTGATTGCAACACAAATGAGTCAAATGTCAAAATGTGTGAGCCTACAGAGGCAGTAAGCATATACTTGTGTGTGTTTGTGTGTTTCAGGTCAATTTGTATTCAAAGTTGGAGGGTTATTTTTTCCCTAGGGACATGACATTTTCATTTCCTGTTCCTCTGTCAAATCTATTTCAAGTCTTTCACATTTGCATTTCAAGAGCAACTATAGGGGCAGCTCATCCCAAAATCAAAAATATATATTCTTCTCCATCTGTCTCTATCTGTAGTTCTGTTTATCAATCTTATAATGTTATGGAGTAAGTTGTAGAGTTTTGAAGATATCAGATGTATGCATGTCTGCTTTTTCTCAAATAAAGTCCATTATATTGTAGAAAATGATGGCACTCGGTTTGTGGTGCTCAAAACGCCAAAAGAAATACATTTAATAAACTCAACAGCTTTGTCTCTTTCCATAAATCATGATCTGGTAACTCAAGATACAAAGCATTTTATCGTAGGAACTATTACTTACTCCTGAGGGGTGATACGGTTGCTGGTTGTAGTTTGGTAGAAAGAAAATAGTTCCTACATAAAACTGCTCGAGATATGTGGATTATTTTTGTTAACTGGCTCATGATTATGGAAATAGACAATAACTTCTATTGTATTGGAGACACAAAGCAACTCACACCAATCTATATTGATAAAAAGAACTAACATTATGAAACCATTTATTCTATATTTGTAGTTGAATTGTCCCTTTAACACGCTGACTAAACTCAACAACAAACCACTGAGATTTAAAATACTGCAAAGCTAGTGCACAGCCCCTCTGGGTTTGGGCCTTATGGGAATCATGAGATGTGACATTTGGAGAGCTCACATCTTATAAACAGTTGAGGGCCGGCTCAGAGAGGACTAACAGGCAAGACAATTAAGGCCTCAGTGCACTATGGGAACAGGAGCGTACATTTCCCAGTGAAAAACATTATTATTTTTTTTAAACCAACAGTCTGATGCAACGTGCTTGGTTGGCCTCTCCCACCTCACCACTTCAGGGACAGGATTTACTGCTGCTCTCTGGGAGCACAGCCCAGTGCCTCTGAGGACTGTGTTTGGATGGCCTCTCAGCTATGTAACAGCCCTATTATAAAAAACATGGTGTGTGTGCAGGGAAATATTTGGAAAGATGTTTGTTAATGTGGCTCTCAATGTTCTGCACTTTCCTGGACAATATTTTATGACCGTGGAGTTGGCTGTGGGTACCATGCATAAGGCACACCAAACCAATCTGGATGGTGTCTTTAGGTTGGCATCTTTAAAGTCTTTCTTTAAAAGTCAGTACCTGACAGCTTTATGGATGGCTGTGTGATTGGCATGGCCGCTCACTCCGCTCCCATCGAAGGTCAGCACCTGAAACAACAAAATGTCTCACTGTGTGTGGGTGCAAATCCAGCATTTGGGTATCTAAAAGTGAATTTAAATAAACGGAGGCAAAAGATTTGTCTTGGGTTAGTGTGTCTTGACTTTGGAGCTGTTTGGCAGCTGACAACTGATATTTAAAAGCCTTTTTCTGTGTGCTTGCTTCCACACAAGAGGAAGCAAGAAACAATCAGGTCAAAGGGAAAGAAAAAGTGCTTGACTAAAGACTTGGCATTTGCTATGCTCAGGCGTATTCTACCATGACTATGTCGTTGCAATCAAGCATCAGTTAACAAGTAGACTTTGTTTTTATCCCTCATGACCTGTATATAGAAAATCAAGAGATTGCCGTGGTTTAAGACCAAGGAAACAGGTCATTCAGTTTAAGAGCCAACCACATTTTACTC